TTTCTTTCTTTCTTTCTTTCTTTCTTTCTTTCTTTCTTTCTTTCTTTCTTCCTTCCTTCCTTCCTTCCTTCCTTCCTTCCTTCCTTCCTTTCTTTCCTTCTTTCTTTCTTTTCTTTTCTTTTCTTTTTTTGAGAAGCAGCAGCGGGGCGCTCTGGTGCTAGCAAAATACCAATGACTGTACTTGCTCATTATATTTAATTGGTTGTATATGTCCCTGTTATACTATGCCTGACATTTTCCTCCTCTGTAGTTAATACAAAGATTGAAGGTGATTTAATTTGGGGAAATAATGCAGAGGGGAACTACTTAGTTTTCTCATCAAGGGTCCTTTTTTCCTTATGCAAAGGAAAAAGATTTCTGGAGAGATTGTGGGTCATCCCTAAAAAGAGATATTGATAAGATTGAGTGAGTCCAAAGATGGGCAACCAAAATGGTGCAATTTCTGAGGGGCAAAACCAGTGCTACCAGTTTGGACCGGTTCAGCCGAACTGGTAGTTTAAAAAGGCCTCCAAAAATCAGCTGAGAGGAGGAAAAGAAGGGGCAATCAGCTGAGAGGAGAAAGAATAGAAAAAGACTGGATCGGCCTTCCCACCCGCCACTGTGCTTTTCTCTTCTTTATCCTCTCAACTGATTGGCGCTGCAGGCCTCAGATGGTGTTGGGAAAGCTGCGCATGCGCGTTAGGTGCACGCACATTAGGTACGCATGCACGATCACCAAACTGGTAGTGGAACAGATAGGATCCCACTTCTGGACAAAACATACCAGGAGAGATTGGAGGAACTGAATATGTGCAGCTTGGAGGGAAAGGAGGAACATGACTGAAACCTTTAAATAGTAAGAGTGTGAATTAGATTCTAGAAAGACAGTGTTTTCCATATTAAGCTATCAAGAAAAAAATTGAGAAAACAGAGGCATAACCACAAACTGACAGGAGGGATGTTCAAAAGTAATGTTAGAAAGCATTACTTCGCAGAAAGAATATTGGAAGCCTGGAATCAACTTCCTGTAGCGATAGTGAGTCAAGACCCTCAAACAGCAGACTTGATGGACCACTAGGTCTTTTTCTGCCATCAGTTTTCTATGTTTCTGTCTCTATCACATCTACTTTAGCTTTAAGAAAGATTAAAATTTTATTTATGTGAATACTTAGTTAGAATATAGAAATCCTGATATGCAAGAATATGCAGTCAGCAAAATAGAATTCATAAAATATTCAATAACTTTTACTTAAAGGGACTCAAGCATTTTTTAAATCTAGAACTGTGAAATAACATCTCAAAGTGGCTAAGACAAATATCTCCCTAATTCAGTGAACTGTAAGATGGAGGAGGAAGAAGAAGTATGTTACAGGCAGCTATATTCATCTTTAACCTGATTTATCCTTCCTGCAAAGCTCTGGTCTACTTAGCAGGGCTGTAAGGAGGGAAGAGAAGAGTTTTATTTTTAGGTAACAGACCGTTAATTACTTAGGACTCTGATACTGATCACACCTGTGCACACGCACACAAATATTTCTTCTTGCTGTTTTTTTAAAATTGTGCAAAGCCAGTCTGTATTACAAGTGTTGTATCTACATGGGCTCTTCCAGGTTATATCAGGAGAGATCCTAGGTGGCTTTCCTTGAAGGAAATTAATTCTATGAACGGCTTCAGACTGTTGATTGCATTATGACAGCTCTAATGCCCGTGTGCGGGTATTTCCCTGAAGATACTGTAATGTTGGGCTCTGCCTCCTGTGGCCATTCACTGACATAAAACTTCTAATTTAGGGAGCTATTACTTCTGAAATAGTGGAATCATTACTGATTTAATGCAAACAGTTTGGATAGTGAGTGTAAGGAAAATGCTGTAGCTGGCAAAAAGTACACAGCACATTATTCACAGAGGAAACACAGACAGAAGTCAATGCTATGGATTTTGCACAATGCCTAAGCCAAAATTAGGGATTTTTCTCTAACCAGAGCCAGATGCCAGAATCCCTACTTAGGTGTTGTTATCCATGCTAATTACCTTTATAACTGCTGATTCTCTGACTTCCGGCTTCATACTGTCAGATCTTAGTTTATAGCTGCTCTCTTTGGCCAGTGGGTCAAGAACTGGAAAATGCTTCTGGATTAATAGAAAGTGGTAGTGCTGGCCAAAGATAGCAGCTATAAACTAAGATCTGACAGTATGGGGCGGGAAGTCAAAGAATGAGCAAACAGTTATAAAACAGTTATATAATTAGCATGGATCACAACACCTAAGTAGGAATTCTGGCAGATGGAAACAGAGACATCGACAACCTGAGGGAAATGATGAATCCTGAACTGATAGTTTTAAGACTCATGAAAACCCCTTTTTTCTTGCTTAAATTCATCGTATAATGCAGGGTAATATGTAAAGCAGAGCCAAAAATATCATCCAAAAACTGCAGTCTGAATAGGCAAAGTGGAATAATAGCTGTTGTGGGGTGTGGTAGATAGAACAGACTAAGAAAATGTGGTTCAGATCACAAAACTCACCTCTTCACCCCTTTAGCCAGGCTCTCAGCCTCTCTGGGTTATCACGGGGGTGAAATAGGGAGAACACCATGGCCATCTTTAGGAGAATCAAAGTATTAGGCTTTCACCTGTGCTAGCAAGGTTGTGAATACATAAGAATTATGAACCCCCATCCTCCAAGTGACAACAATCAAACCATTTGATGGGCTCCATATCACCCAGGTCCCTCGACAAAGCCATGTCTTCAGGGCCTTTCAAAAGAGTATCATGGTGGGGGCCAATCTTAACTTTGCAGGGATGATGTTCCCCGAGGGGAGCCACCATGGGGAAGACCCTTTTTCTAAGTGGCACTAGATGGACCTCCTTACCCCGCCTCCCTGGTGGTTGGGTAGATATAGTTGGAAAATATGGGTCCTTCAAATAACCCATTGGGAGGTCTTGAGACAATAAATCCTCACTGAACCCTTTCTAGTCCAGTACATTAGCATTTCTGAGAGCTGAGCTTTCTGAGGAATGTCCTTTGTTGGCCTCTGGCAACTGCGATCTCTCCAGCATTCACATTGCTACATATATTACAGCAGTTGTGGCTCTGAACCTGCATATAAATCTTTCATTTTACCCCACTGCAGGAGGGCTGATTGGGTGTCTTCTGCCCTAGTCTCTCTTTTACCACTCCTTGGGACCTTTCGTGGGCCTTGCTGTGTTTGAAGAGCGGTCGAAATGTGCTTGTTGCTGGAAAATGGACTTTGTTTTCCCTCTCTCCCCTCATTCTACAATAGCATGTTTCTCATTAGATCAGGATTTAACTGTCCTATGGAACAATTTGCAGTGCACTGCAGAAAACCTACAACTTAGAATTGGGGGACCATTGCATTGTTCAGATTTGTAGACTTGTTTTAATAACAGTATCATTGCTCTTTATAGGGATAAGGAACAGTTCCTGCAAAATGATGATTAATCTCCCGTGCCTCTATAGATTTCTGTTAGTGCCATTCATGACTTTTGTATTAAAGTTCTCTTTGGGGGATTCTTCAGGTCAGGGAACAAGAAGCATAATAAGACAAAACATCCTTTACGCACTGTCAGTTATGGTTTTGGGTAGCTCAAATTTATTTAGGTTTTCTGATCTATTAAGTGGCTACTAATAATATTCAGGTGGTGCAGTGGTTAGAATGTAGTACTGCAGCTACTTCCACTGACTGCCAGCTGCTAGCAGGTCGGCAGTTCTACTCTAACTGGCTCAAAGTTGACTCCGCCTTCCATCCCTCCGAGGTCAGTAAAATTAGGACCTAGATTGTTGGGGGCAGTATGCTGACTCTGTAAACCACTTAGAGAGGGCTGTGAAATGTTGTGAAGTGGTATATAAGTGCCTTTGCTATTGCTACTAATTCATGTTTAAAACAAAAAACATCTCTTTAAAAAAGAGTGACAGCTTCATCTCCCTTGCCATGAGTGGCTTTTTAAACTTGAATATCTTTAAACAACTTCTACTGCATTCTATTTCTCTATACAGATCCAAAGAAGTGCTTACTCGGTCTTCTTTGATGAGAAGTTTTCCATTCCCTTGGATCCTTCCACGTTGGAGGAAAACAGCTTGAGATTCTCTGTTTTTGGCATTGATGAGGATGAGAGAAACATCAGCACTGGTGTGGCTGAGCTGAAGTTATCCGACTTGGGTATTTTTGTCCGGCCTTTCAACGCCTGGCTTTATCTGCAGGACATGAATAAGGTGAGAGCATTTTCGTGATTCATGCTACTACTGCACAACTGATTTGGAGACCTGGAAGGAAGGCCTATCATTTAGGACCATTGCTGGTTTTGTTACTAGTGTACTATCATGAAAGGGAAACGGCTCTTGCAAGATTGTCCTACCTCAGGAGCCAAAATAACTTAGTTGTATCTCAATATGTCATGCCTTCCTTCAGGCAAGAATCTCAGAGTCTCCAGTTCTGTCATCATTGTTCTCTAAAAATGAGTCAGTGGTCCTAAGAGCAATGAAGGAAAATCTCTGTGCTGTTAGCGCGACACGGTTATTGTTCTCACTTGTGAGCTGCTTGGTTGAGGTTGTAGTTGCAGGAGGACTAGGCAAAATAGATTCCTAAGGATTAAATGAAACGGAAGTATTTAAGGGAGCTTCTTCAGCCTCTTAGTAGATCTCAAGGTCAAGGTCAGTTTTTAGGGCAACTTTCCTGGTGGCATTCTAATGTATTCCCCATCCTCGGACTCAGGAGAGAACAAAATAGATGATGCCATTAGTTCCTTCTGCAAGGCTTGTAGAATACTGAATAATGAATGTTCCTCTCCTTTTTATCTACAGGCAACTGATTCGGTGGGTGAAATCCTGCTGTGTCTTAGCTATTTACCCACAGCAGAGCGATTGACTGTAGTTGTGGTTAAAGCCAAGAATCTTGTGTGGACTAATGGAAAAATGACTGCAGGTCAGTAGGATCCCTCTTGTCCCTTCTGCCACCCCTTCTTTCTCCCCAGTGCTGGATAAATTATAAACATTCAGCATTCGGTGAATGAGTCAGCAATGGTTGAGAGTACAATCTGGTCCTCTTGCAAGTTGAGTAGAAGAGGGGAATAATAATGTATTGCAATCTATTTTATCATATTTTCTTTAAGGATTTAGTTCTGCTACAAAACCAGGGAGTGGAAAAAGTGACATACATACTAATGTCTGCAATACATTCTCTGTATTATAAAAATATTGATCTGTGTAAAACTATGATAAGCTCTACTAAATCCTTAGGATCAGTGGAGGAATTCTGTTTTCTGTATGCTGGTAGCAGATGACTTTATTTCTAAATGCAATGAATGAACCACATCTGCTACCCACATTCTGAGGCTAAAGTTCATTCCAACCATTTGGTAAAAGCTTTAAAACGTAGAAAGGATGGAATTTAATGACCCCTGTTCTCTAAAGCAGTTTTGTAAGGTCGAAGGGAACAAATACAGTAGCTGAAAAATCTCATTTCTCCCACATCGGTCATCAGTAGAATTAAAAAATAATTATCTCCCCGCCTCCATGATCTTAACTTTTAATGTTTGCTAAATATAAGTTATAGGTTTATAATTGATTTTTCCAATAATAAAAGATTCAAGGCAGAAAATATGGAGATTGGCTGAGGGATGGAGACGTTCACAATGTGTTGCCAAGTTTCTATGATCTTTTCCAGAAAGTGATTATAGCAGGACAGCCATTGCATATTTTGGAATTCTCATCTTAAGCATCAAGCTACTTAAATAGCCATTAACAGAAATTGAAGATCTGTAGGAGGTTAGTGTCTTTGAAGAAATTAGGAAATGATCAGTTAATTTCCAATTTTAATTAATTGGATTTCTCCTAGTTTGGATCACACGTGTGTTTGTAGAAGTTAACCCATTCTACCCCGAAGACTCTGATTATAATGCTTTAAAATCTGACCATAATGTGAGACATATTTTTGTATTTTGTGGTAACATACTTTCTATTCATCCTTGATGTCCAGAATAAAAAAAAAAACGAGGTGGAACGTAGTAGCAGAAACTGCAACCACTGAAGTTATTATAGAGTTTCAAAGATAAAATAAACATGGTGTGAAAACTGTTTCTTTGGAATAAAAGAAACAATTTGTTCTTACTCTTCCTTCAGATCCTTTTGTCAAAGTGTACTTGCTGCAAGATGGGAGGAAGATCAGCAAGAAAAAAACCGCAGTAAAGCGAGATGACACAAATCCAGTGTTTAATGAGGCCATGATTTTTTCAGTGCCAGCAATTGTCCTGCAGGTAAGAGTTCTCTGGTTCAAAGGGTATATACCGGGAGCCCTCCAATGAACCCCCTCCCTGCTATAGGCACAGGCATTAAAGCATGTACAGTGCACCAACATGCTGGTGGTTTTGGCATTCATGTCTCTAGCCCAAGCATTCCTGGGACATTAGGTGCTATTGTACAAGTGGTGTTGAAGGACCCATGTTCAGTTTTTGCCCTGATCTGTAACTTGACTGGATTATTTACTAGGAGTCTAGCTGGATTAATGTTGATTTAGTGGTTCACATTTGCATGTGACCCTACAGATGAACTGGTCCTGAGTCATTCCAGTCAGGATTGTCCACGGTGATTCAAGCGGTAGTTTTTTCCACAGCCCTACTGCTTGAGATGCTTTCAGCTAGAGATGCCGAGGATTGGATCTGGGACCTTGTACACACTCTAAGGTGCTCAGCTAGGCAGCTGTGCATTTTCTCATTTCAGCTTATGCTGAGTCAGGTGAATGGTGTATGATCGTAAGTCAACTTTTGGCATGCCGATATAGCTGTTTTACATGTAAGCATATCCTGCTAGACTTACATCAGCCACAGACTGCTTAAACAGAACCATTGTCATTGGCCTCAGAACTTGAAATAGTGGCTCCCTCTGTGCGTGCTTCAGAGTTTGAGGGATAAGAGTAGAATTAAATAGGTCTGTCCCATCTGCTGGGTTTATAATACATGACTTTGGCTTAGATCAGGAGTGTCAAACTCAATTTCATTGAGGGCTGCATCAGGATTGTGTTTGACCTCAGGGGGCTGTGGGGGCTGGGGACAGGGTGGGCATGGCCAGCTCGACGTCACTCATGGTGGAGGATGCCTGTGGTGGCCCGAGTGCTCTGCCAGCAAAAACGGGCTCCCAAGTTCCATTTTCGGCTGCAATGGCCTCCTGCAACTCTCTGCCAGTGAAAATGGAGCTCTGGAGACTCTCCTGAGCTCCGTTTTCACTGTTAGAGGCACTGTGGGGTGGTCCTTCGCTGTTTCCAAGGCGGCCCCATGAGCCAGATCTAAGCACTCCATGGGCCAGGTCCAACCCCCGGGCCTTGAGTTTGATACCCCTGGCTTAGATGATGGCTTTTAATCATGGCTGTGCAATTAAAGCCAGATCATTGGGACAAAATGCTGAACTACAAAATGGAGTAGAAACGTTAAAAAGTGACACGGGTGAATGGGTGTGTGTGTGTGTTAAATTGTGGCTTTTTATTGCTGTATGATGCCCAGAGTTACTGTGTGAGTTGGGCAGCCATATAAATTTACTGAATAAATGCATTTACTTTTGACAGTCTGTAAATAATTACTCTTTTTCTCAACAAACATAGACCTTTTGGGGATTATGGCAGATATAAATACAAGGTGGTTTATGCCTTACCCTACACTGAACTGTTTGTGTCAGTGATCATGTGAACTGAAGCAAAGTTTTACAGGCATCACAGAGTGTTGCAGGGTGCACCAGATTAGGGCACTGTGATACATTCAGACCAGAAATGTTACTTAGCAAAAGTAAATAAACTGAAACAGAATAGGCTTATAGCATTCAATTCTCCAGTCTTAGTCCTGGTGATTTCACAAGTTCTTCTTGATGGAAAATAGATTCTGTCTAGAAGGATTTGTCATAAAAGCAGAGGCTTTCAGGTTAAATTCTGCGGAAAAAAACTGACATGGGAGATGTAAACCAATCAGCATATCATTTGGTAGGCTGAATATTTAACTCCATTTGCTTTTCAGTCATTCAAATCCTTTTGTGCTGGAATCTAATGAACCCTAGCTAAAAGAATAATCTTCAAGTGAGAAGTTACTGCATGAGGAAGCTTTATTCAGCAGCAGCACGAAGACAAGTAAAAGGATGGGATATCACAATAAAACGAAAAAAAAGGCTTGCGTTTCTTGTTATCACACTTTTTCTTAAAGATGAGATGATCAGAAGAGATAGGATAAAGCTTCTGGAACAAGTGTTCACAAAAATAAACAGAATGGGAACAATGATAAAAAAGATATTATACATAAATATGCAGGCTGCCTGAAGACCTATTACTGTTTCATTTGCAAACAGAGCAAAGACTAACTTAGAATAAAGTTTCTAGTTGCTATTAAAAGTCTGAGGTCATACACTTCAGTCTACATTAGAGCAGCAAAAGTTTTCCCAAATAATAGGATCTGCATTTGAAGACACGTTTTGGAGTGTTCTAAGAAATTCATCCAAGATGAAGCTTCTAAAATTTGACTTGTTCAGACAAATATTTTTTCTCTCATGCAGTTGTTCAAGCCCTGCCTACCTTCAGTTTTAAATGGCTTTTTCCACATCAGCCTTGCCTTGCCTTGCCTTTCTCTTCTCTTCTCTTCTCTTCTCTTCTCTTCTCTTCTCTTCTCTT